AAATGTTTAAAGAACTTTGGTGACTGTTTTATTACTTGGTCACTTATGCTGGATACACGACGGTGTGATACATTGAACAGCTCCTGCCTAAATTCTGAGTAACAGCACCTCAGCTATGATATACCTAAAGGTAGATCAGTCACCCACCTCAGAAAGGGAGCAGAAAACACTGAGAAGACAGAGGGTGTGGTAAGGGAACCCAAAGCTGGCACTAACGAAGACCTCGGTAATAAGTTCCACATTTGTTGAGCTCTTGAAATATTTGTTAAATGACATAATTTGAGCCTGACACCACTGCTCTATGGCAGGAAGACTGACAATTGTCCGCTCTGTTCTACAGACTTGGAAAGAAATGGAGACCCAGAGAGGATAAGTGACTCATCTAAGGCCACACAGCAAATGATGGCCAAGCTGGTCTGAACATAGGAACAACACCATCTGTAGACTGAAATTTTGCCTGCTAGCTCTCATGCCATTTTCACAAGAGTCCATGAGGTAGGGATTATTGGTTTCATTTTACTTATTGGATAACTGAGATATCAAGTTAAATAACTGGCCCATCACAGTACTGGAAGTCATGCGGGTTGCCTCTTTCTGCATGCTACGGGGACACTGATCACTGGTCTGAGACTGTGTTCCTGAGACACTACAGAGGGAAACTGAGACCCACAATTAATGGGGCTTCAAGAAGCAGAACGTGGGCATTTTTGATTAGGCAGCATAACTGAAGCAGACCAGGAATACACCCCCAGTCCGCCTGACAGTCTCAAGGATTTAGGCTGGAGTCCCTTGAAGGGAAGAGACGTGAGGGAAGAGGCATGTCGCACTCTGCTTTCCAAGAGTGGGCAGATAAGCTCTGAGAGAAGGAAAGGTCACGTTGGTTACCTCTAGTGATCCCTAGCAGCCTGGCTTAGAAGCACACCCACTTCTGGGCAACTGAAAACCCCAGGTGGAGCCCCCTCACATCATATACCAAAACTAACTCAAAATGAGTCAAGGATCTAAAATATAAGAGCTAAAACTATGCAACTCTAAGAAAACACAGGTGTACAATTTGATGACCTGAGATTAAGCAATGGTTCCTTAAACTTGATACCAAGACAAAGTGGCAAAAGAAAAAAGCAATAAATTAGACTTTATCAATACTCAAAATTGTGCACCAAAGGACACCATGGAGAAAGTGAAAAGACAACCCACGGTGGAAGAAAAATCGTGCAAATCATATGTTTGAAAAGGGACTTGTATCTAGAATACAAAGAACTCTTGCAACTCAAAAATAAGAAGACAACCTGGCCGGGTACAGTGGCTTAAGACTGTAATCCCAGCACTTTGGAAGGTCGAGGTGAGAGGATTGCCTGAGCCCACGGGTTTGAGACTAGCCTGGGCAACTTGGCGAGACCTCGTCTCTACAATAAATCAAAAAATTAGCCAGGCGTGGTGGCATTCGCCTGTAGTCCCAGCTGCTTGGAAGGCTGAGGTGGAAGGATCGCCTGAGCTCAGCAGGTTGGGGATGCGGTAGCCGTGAGTGTGCCACTGCACTCCAGCCTGGGCAACAGAGTAAGACTCCAACTCAAAAAAAAAAAAAAAAAGGGAAGAAGAAGAAGAAGAAAAAGTCAACCTGATTTAAAATTGGGCAAAGGAATCCAAACAGACATTTCTCCAAAGAGATACCAATGGCCACTAAGCACATGGAAAACAACTAGACAGCATTAGCCACCAAGGAAATGCAAATCAAAATCACTAAAAGAAACCACCTTACATCCCCTAGCATGGCTCTAATAAAAAAGACTGGCAAAAACAAATGTTGAGAACATGGAAAATGGAACCCTCATCAATGCTGATGGGAATGTTAAAACAGGCTGGGTGCAGTGGCCCACGCCTGTAATCCCAGCACTTTGGGAGGCAGAGGCCAGAGGATTGCCTGAGCCCAAGAGTTCGAGACCAACCCAGGCAACTTGGCAAGACCTCGTCTCAACAATAAAATTTTTTTTAAAAAGTAGCCAGGCATAGCCGGGCTCGGTGGCTCAGCCTGTAATCCGGCGCCTTTGGGAGGCTGAGGTGAGTGGATTGCCTGAGCCCGTGGGTTCAAGACCCGCCTGGGCAGCGAGACCTCATCTCTACAATAAATCAAAAAATCAGCCGGGCGTGGTAGCGCATGCCTGTAATTCCGGCTACTCGGAAGGCTGAGGTAGAAGGATTGCCAAAGTCCAGCAGGTCGAGGCTGCGGTGGCCAGGAGCGGCCACTGCACTCCAGACTGGGCTACAGAGTGAGACTCCAACTCAAAAAAAAAACCCCCAAAAACAAAAAAAACCCAGCATAGTCACTTTGGAAAATAATCTGGGCAGCTCCTCAAAATATTAAACATAGCTACCCTTATTCTGCTCCCAGACATATACCTAAGAAAGATGAAAATTTATGTCCATATAAAACTTGTCTATGTTTGTTCACAGCACCACTATTCATAACAACCAAAAAGTGGAAATAACCCAAATGCTCATCAGTTGACAAATGGATAAATAAAATGCGCAGTAAAAAGAAGTTCTGGGCACGGTGGCTCACACCCATAATCACGCAGTTTGGGAGGCTGAGGCAAGAGGATTGCTTGAGCCTAGGAGTTTGAGATCAGCCTAGGCAACACAGCAAGACCTCTTTCCACAAAAAAACTTTAAAAAATTAGCTGGGTGTGGTGTGCACGCCTGTAGTCCTAGCTACTTGGGAGGCTGAGATAGAAAGATCGCCTGAGCCCATAAGGTCAAGCTGTGGTGAGCCATGATGATCATGCTACTGCACTCCAGAGCAAGACTTTGACAGAGAGACAGAGAGAGAGACAGAGAGAGAGAGAGAGAGAAACTCCCGATGAATGCTCCAAGGATGAACCTTGAAAACATTATGCTAAGTGAAAGAAGTCAATCACAAAAGATCATATATTATATTAGACTCCATTTATATGAAATGTTCAGAATAGATACATCTAACTTTTTTTGTTATAGGCAAACCTATACAGAAAGTAGACAGCGGTTGCCTAGTGCCTGGGGCTAGAGAGAGGGGTGAGGGGAGTGGGTACTGGTCATTACTTTGGGGGGCAGATAAGCTCTGAGAGAAGTGGTGTGGTGATGGTTGCACAACTCTGAACATACTAAAAACCATTAAACTGTATACTTTAAGGTATGTGAATTGTATCTGCATAAAGCTGCTCTACATTATTATTATTTTTAAAGCACAGGTGGAGAGATGGATCCTCAGAAGGAAAGCAGAAGTTTCTGGGGTGATAGAAATATTCTAAATATTGATTCTGTGATGATTACTGAGGTGTAGAAGTTTGTCAATCCTCATCAAACTATATGATGTAAATTAATTTTCAGTAAAGTTGATATAAAAAAAAACATCACCGCCAGGTGAGTGGCTCATGCCTGTCATCACAGCACCTTAGGAGCCCAGGAATTCAAGACTAGCTTGGGAAAAATATTGAGACGTTGTCGCCACCAAAAATTTTTTTTTAAAGTATCCAGGCGTGGTGGTTCGCGCCCGTAGTCCCAGCTCAGAGGCTAAGGCAGAAGGACTGCCCGAGCCCAGGAGTTTGAGGCTGCAGTGAGCCAGAATCATCTGCTACACTCCAGCCTGGGCAAAAAAAGACCCTCAACTCCAACAAAACAAAACAAAACAAAAACACCACCCCCACCAGGCGGAGAAGGCAGGAAGAAACTACCCAATGGGCAGTGGCAGGTATCGAGGCTACTCAGTGGCAAAAAGCAGGCAGGTTATCTCGTCTCCAGGGTCAACTCAGAGGGGACTCAGGCATCACATGACCTAGTGCCCCTTCACTTGCTTCTCGAAGCCACCTTGGACCACCTATCATTTCTCCCCAGGCCTTCTCCTCACGACCCACCCTGCCATCCCAGGCCAGCTGCCAATGCCACCTCCTCCAGCCCTTATCGCCTTACAATCGGGGCCAGGAGGCAAGGGCAGGCTGCCATTCCTCGTGCCACTTGCTGCTTCTTAACAGATAACCCTGACTGGGTGGGGCAGCCCCCAGGGTGGAGCAGCACCACTCAGAGCAGACCTCAAGCCCTCCTCACCTCCACCCCAAAGCCTTCGGTTGGGTAGAGAACCCAGAAGGACACTGATATTTCTCCAGCACTGTGGACCCTCACAGCACTCCCATGGGATAGGTATTAGTATTCGTCCCATTCTGCAGAGCAGGCCACCAGAGCTCAGTGTTGAAGGAATTCACTCATGTCACCAGCTGGTCAAAGAGTGTGGAAGCTGGGATTCCAGGTTCCAGTTCAAGCTGGCCTTTCTTCCAATGAAGAGGGCCAAACTCTGCATCCACTTCAGCTCCTTAGGCGGAACCTGTTAGTACATCACTGTCCTTCCCAGAAAAGGAAGATACCCCTCAGATACAAGTCCCAGACACCCAAGGGAGATTTCCCAAGGCAGCTGCAGACAGCCAGTGCCTGGTTACTGCTCCCTAGGAGTGTGAGGAGTGCCCTGGGCCGCTTTTCCAAGGCCATGGTGACTGAAATGGAAAAACAGGGACCCTCCACAATGCCTGTCCAGGAGGAAACAGGCGATTTGTGCAAACAGGTGATTTGAAAACCTGGAGGGTTCCAGATCTGCAAAGGGAAGAATGTGGCCACACTCCACTTCGTGCAGTGGGTTCTCCTGGGTCTTGTTAAGCTTTGCAACAGCCCTAAGAACTTCCTCATCCAGCTAGGTGCAGGCTGTTTCTTCACAGAGCTCCAGTCCGGAGGCTCTCAGAGGCCCAGGATGGGGATGCCAGGTGGGATACCTGGCATTCAGTGGCCGCTGGATTGGATCCATGGGGTAGTGTGGGCAGAATGCCACTCATTGCCTCGATGAAGTGTGAGGCTGACCAACTCCCGGCCCAATGCTGCGTTTTGAGCGGGCTCTGTCCACCCCGCCACTGGTCCCTTTTCCGACTTCTACCTCTCTGCTCTGGTGTCCCTGCCGCAGCCCACCCGCGGGTTCTCAGGATTACCTAGGCACAGGCTGGAGTAGAAGCCCTCCTTCTTTAGCATGATCAGCAGGGAGCCCCATCCCAGGAGCACGGCGGAGAAGAAGAGGTTCTCCAGCACGGCGGTGCAGGCCATCCACCAGCGCCTCCGGTATGCCTGCTGCAGCGTGGGGGCCATGCTGGCCGCGAGCCTGCACAGGAACAGGGCGCTGAGCGAAGGGGCCCCCAGCAGCCCGTGGGAAGGGTGCTGCATCATGGTGGCTCCTGAGACCCCTCGGACCCACCCGCGAGGGGGCCTTCATGGAGGCCGCGTGGAGCCCTGGGCTTCCCAGCTGGTGCCACCGAGCGGGCTCCGCGCGCACTGGCAGTGCCAGGGCGCACGCCGCGCTGGGCTCCCGCCGGGCCACTATCAGAGACAAGGAAGGTCCTGTCTGCGCGCTGCAGCTTCCTGGCGCGCTGCGGGGCTCTCCCACCCGGGCCACGGCGCGCCGAGCCCGACTCCTGGGGGCCAAATCCGCACTGCCCCAAGTCCCCGGGGGTCACAAGGGGCAGAGCGCCCTGAAGACCTGCGAGCCACGACCGGCCTCTCGCGCCAGGAAGGACCCCCAGAAGCGGGCAGGAGGAGGAAGGGGAAGTGAGTCTAAGGCTAGCCCAAGACCCCCCCCCCCCGGCCCCCCCCCCCCCCCCCCCCC